CTCTTCCGTTTATCCCTTGCAAGCTCGTTCGTTCTCCGTGGTCTCACCTTGTCCTCTACGTTTATCGCGAATTCGCCCTTCCTTCTACCCTCTTCCTCCGTGATCCTCAAAGCCGCGATGAAGGTAAATGGATTTTTAGCTCGCCGCCCAAGAAATGCCTTTGTGCCGCGATAACGGCGTCCGCCGCGGAGAAAGCTCGAGGGCCCTTTCAAGGGTTGCGAATCCTTACGATTTGATTTACGATCCTCTTCGGATGGATTCTCCGAATCGAGACGAAGAGACAAGAGGACTCGCGTTGTCGTTGGAAATGAAAACGAGCAGACGAGGAGATCCAGGTATTATTTCTCGATGTACACCGACTTACGTCCCGTTCTGAGAGAATACCGATGGGGTCTTTGATCGTTTCCTCGACGAATCGGTATCGTTGCGAGGAAAATGGAGAAATTGTACGTTCGTTAGCGAAACGACACGGGTTTTCCTCGGTTTTAAGGATTTTAAACGAGTCTCCGATAATTCCCTCCTCTCTGCGTTCGTTAAACGTTTTAAACTTTCGTTTCGATCGTTGTTCTTTGCAAAATGTCGGACGGCTGTTAAAATAAATCGATGAGAAATGTTTGTTTTATAAAAGGAATCGGCGAGACTAATTTTCCGCGACTTTATAGGGTCTTCGATAATGGTAGGATTATTTTTACATTCCCCTGTGAACGCCTCGAACCTTGACTTCGATTTTCGTGATGGGCCATGTGTCGGATAGCGGGTTCTTTAAATGCTTTGAACCTTGACTTCGATTTTCGTGATGTATGAATGGTGGAATAACAGGCGTTGGAATAAATTGATGGAAAATATTTATTTTAACCGGTGTCGCTAATTTCCATTGCTACCTTCTCGTCTCGTCGGATGTTTTAAACCTTGATATCGGATTTGGATCTCGATTATCTTCGAATGTAAAATATCGGGTGGCAGATGTTCATTTAAATCGATGAAAAATATTTATTTCGCCCGGTGGATTGACACGTCTAATTTACCGATTATGCGGATAATTTATTCACAGTGTCGGGGGAAATAATAGGTAAATTCGACGCATTTGGAACGAGTGTCCCTCGTGTCGCGCCGATATCCCGATATTTCAATTTAAGATATATTTAACTCGCGACATACGACACGCATCATAGTTTAATTCAAAATCCGCACGTGTGGCCCGTTGGGAGAGATTTTTCATCGATAGAAATACGTTTCCCAACGTGTCCCGGTAAAACAAACAAAAAATGGCGTCGTCGAATGTCACTCGCTAATACGTCTCCCTTTTCTGTTTCTCTTTTCACCGCCGTATTATTCCGTTAAATAAAAACGAGATAAAGGAGAATTTCATGCGAAAAAGCCACGAGGTTACACGTAAAAACCGGGGAAAATGGTCGCGGAAAATAATTCGAAAAATGCAAATAGAAAGTAATCGCGTTACGCTGTTCACCCTGTTGAACGGAGCGACTAAAAATCCTGTCAACCGCGGAAACTTTATTCCCCGTTACGACCGATCGTTAAAAGAAAACCGCTGTCGCCGTATTAACCTCATTAGCATAGCGAGAAAAATATTACGGGACGTCGAAGCAAACGCGAAACTGAGAATAAACTCGGATTATCCGGCGATTCTGCAACGTTTCGTCTGAAACTAGACGCGTAGCTGCAGCCAGAGGGGGTAGTTCTTTGTCTCGCGTCGTGAACTTCCGTCGAGGGTTATCTCCTACGTCCTTAGATACCATAAGGTTCGTCAACCTTGACCCAGATCGATGAGCTCCACGGGGGAAAGAAAGCACCCCGAAACTTTTAATGCTTCGGCCTATTTAGGGCCGAGCAATTTAGCTGGTCGCTCGAAAAGCAGCTTAATGCCGAAGGCTGCCCGAGTGATTTGTCCTGGAAAGAGGAGTCGAATGATTTTTATTCGACAACCTCGCCTTAGATCGCGACACAGGGGTGTTGTAGAGGCTGATAAATAGAGCCTATGAATTTTTAAAACGAATTTATTCGGAGGCTTTCGTCTGGTTGATTCAATAGGACTGCAGTTACTCTATCGTTGACCCGATAGCACTATGAATAAATTGCTACGAAGATAGTAAATATAGAGACTATCGGAAACGTGTCACCTCGAGTCTAGGTCGCCGCGAATTTTTATATCGAATTTATATCGAGAATATTTGTCGATATAACAGAGGAAGGAAACGTTTCAAAGGGGTTTCGCGATTTTTTAGCGCAAGCGAGGAAATTTGGTTGCGATCAGCGACCACACAGTGATAAGAAATCCCCGACCTCGAATTATTCTAGATTCCGATAAATTTAGTTCCATTGCACGCTGCACCCGTTGGCACGTCGAGTTTCAATTCGATGGCCTCGCGTCGAACCGTGCAAACACTCCGTTCTCCATTAGCACCAACTTTTACCGGGCAATCAAATTTATTTTACACGGCAAACCACCAAACGTGGGAAATTTACCATGTCGAAAGGCCGACTAAACGTTTGCACATAAGACATACCTTTTCACCGACGAGTCGAACACCATTTCCGCTTCTTTTTCGTCAAATTTTCCGCAACTTTCGGCGCCCTCTTTTAATGTCCGCCATGCGAAAATTCTTCCATCCTTGTACTTGTAGACCCTCGTACCTGCAACAGAAATCGACGTCAGCTGTGTTCTGAAATATTATTTAATCTGAAGGCATATCATGAAGGATTAAATAAGTAGAAAGCACTGTGTCGGATTTTGTCAGAATATATTATTCACGAGGGGGGAGGGGGGACTGTGCCGAGAAAACCGTATCACTCTTGGGAAAATAGTCTGAATCCTACTCTAGTCATCAAGGAATTGCCTACACATTTTCCAACCCTGGCCCACGCGTCCGTGAGTCATGGGGAGTGGTCGCAAAATACAAACCAGGCCCCCATTGACTCGGGACAAAAATATCTTTCTTCTTCGTCGATAGGGATGCGTCCCTACAAATCTATTATGCTTTTTTCTCAACGAATACCGAACGAGTCGATTGTTTTGACTTCCTTTTTGCGAATGTTAGATCTTCCAGCAGTCTTTTTTGATGTCCACCAACCACGTAATCTCAACCCTCGAATATAATTTCACTTAGGAAATCAACGAAGACCGTTGAGGGTCGAGATACAATCGCGATATAATTACCTTACAATTCCTTTCCTCGTTTACCACGAAAATATTTTCCATTGGAGACTCCATTACTCGATTTCTCGGTTCGACGACGACGGGACGCAATAACGATTCGTCAAAGACACTCGCCCGCGTTAGAAACGCTCGAGAACAATGCTAAAAGGATGTCGAGTTGGTCGGAAAGACATAATAGCGAATAAACATAGCGACTTTCGCTATTGGTCGAATACGCGACCTTCGTCGTGTCCAAGCGCGAAGATCGAGTAGTTGAAAGCATTTCCGTGGCATTTCGGAGCGCAGGGGTCGGAAAATGGCGACTTCTGCGAGTAGCCCGACGGCGATTCGTGTCTTCTTCGAGCTGTCGACGAATTTCAGTGAATTCCAACTTGCTGCTCCGGAACGGAAGCTTTGCCAGCGCTCCCGGGTCAGGAAGTCGCTAGCGTCGTGCTGACGTCATTATTGCTTGAGAAAGGATGCGAATAATTCGGTAGAATACGTCAATCGTGGCGTGAATGCGCGGCCTGAAATTAATTCCCATTGTGATCGAATGAATCGAATACTGTTTAATTGAAACGAAGTTTTAAACGGCGTCCATTTGTCGACAACAATTTGCTAAGGCAATTTCGGCTGGAACATCGAATTTCGTCTGGAAATCTGTCAAATTTGTTTGCACGATAATTCGAAGATGTAAACTAACTAAAATTATGCCCCTTAGCCTATTAGAAGAGATAAACTCGAGCCAGGAGATAACATAGTAAATCGATCACGTTATGATTACTTAACATAGTTCCCGTTAATTACTCCCTAACCGAATAACCAAATCGATTCGCACGATTGCCAACGAATCATCGAATAATGGGATTAATCGGAAGGGTAAATTTCGAGTCGCAGGATCACAGAAATGTATCACCTCGCGACTCCTTATAACCAATTCAGGTTAATTCTCGTTTCACGTAACAACCAACTCGATTCTCACGATCGCTAACGAATCGCCGAATTAATCGAACGAACGAAAGAACGATTTCGAGTCACGGGACGACGTAAATTTATCGGGTTACGATTCCTTAAACCAATTCCCGCTAATCACCCGTGATTTAATAAACAGATCGACTCGCGTGATCGCGAATTATTAAATAATTGAACCAGTGACCGAAATTTCCATTAGGGACGCTTTCCATGTCCCAACCCCGGGTCACCTTGCCACACACGACATGCGGTTTTGCTTTTCGCCAAGACCCACGCCCAAGGACTGCACATCCATTAGAGCCATTAATTGCGAGCACCGCTCTGTGATACGTGAATCTCCGACCAAGTTGCACCAGCGAGACCCTCCAAGTTCGCGCGATCGACAGATCGTTTAACGACGAATCGACTCCCGATCTTCCGCCTCCGTCGTTAACCGCAACCTTAACTCCGCGATCTATCAACTCCTCCGTTCCAACCCCGTAACATAAACCAAGTCTCGAGAACCCTGGACCGGGCTCTCTATCCGTCAGCTTAGCCAACTCCGTTCATTGCGCAGACGTCGTTGAAAAATTAAATTCCGAGCTAAAAGGACCACTAACTTTTACGATGCTTGCCAAAGTTTGACAGAGAGCAGACCATCCACGGATTTACCGATCGACGCGCGAGTGATCACAGATCACCTCTGGTCCCGGAGGAAGAATCGAATGCGAAAATAAAGATCTCAATTTAGCTTGAAACAGGTAACTTGAACCTGTGCATCGAGATAGATTAATCACTTACGCTGTAATGCTTTTGTCACAGAATCGCCAACGACGTGATGTACACGTCCTTAGGCAACTGTTACAAAAACACTGGACCGTTCTAGCACAGGCGTTTGTGAATTTCTTGCTACCGCAAGTGATTAAAGGAATAACCGTGACGAGACAGAGGTGTCAACAGCTCCTATCTAACTTTACAGCGACGTAACGCTGTCTTCCAGGTGTTCCACGTGTGACAGGGTTAAATCACGCGTGTCGTGCACTGATATGTGAATTTTCGACGCCGGATGACGCATGCCATCGCGCTGTTAATTCCCACCGGTTTCCGGTTTGATAATCCGCAGGGAATGGAACACCCTGAGCTGAGATCGCTACTCCGAATCGAGAATGAGGTGCAACAGAGGTACAACAGAACGAGGTAGTAGACGGAGTGGGAATACCGAGAGGTCTGTTTAGGCAGTATTTTCTTCGGGATAGGTAAATATTGATGGAGTGCTTTTGTTTTTCCAGCTTGTACTCGCGACTCCTTGTGTTTGTTGGATACTGTTGGATGCTGCAAGGCTTCTAAGTTTTTAAGTATCGCGAAAGTGTTGTAACGTTGTTCTTCAATGTAATTGGAAATGTGGAGATATAGCATAAAATAAAATATAGCGAATAAAATTCGCTACTTATTTGTTTGGTATTTATGTTAGATTTTAAGATATTCTTTTAAGAGATAAAGTGAAGTTAAAGTAATAGTAATTACATGACTAACAATTGCACAAACTTTTTCATGATTCTTTGACAGTTCGACTGTCACAATTAGACCTCCTTTTAATGCCTTACATACATGACATACTAATACAACGAATCCCAGAAATTCCACGAGCATTCTAAGAAATCATTCGTCTTCCTCGCATAATCTGACGTAAATAATCACTCGATTCGCTCGTTATTCGTAGCAACATTCATTCGAAATATCCTAGCTACTACCTTTACCTGATATTCTTAAATAGAAGTCTTAGAAATAACAAGCCTGTGTTACACTGTCACTCTTACACTCGATTAGACGATGCTTCTGGTATCGAGAATCTAAAGGGATGTCGTGGATATTAAAAAATGAAAGCACTATTAATATAAACTTAATATTACAAGTATCTGTCTTCGAAAAGCTCTGTCCCACACTCTAGTCGCGAAAAAACAGTTTTTTCCAGGAGCTAGCCTAAATGTTCGAGGTGGTTCGCGTGTCCGTGAGTCATGGAATGCTGGTCGTAAAGACATAAACCAGGCGCCCATTGACTCGGGAGCCTCGATGTCTCTAAGAGAGGAAACAATATCTAGCCTTTCCTTTCCACATCGACGGATCTGTGGTCGTAAAGACATAAACCAGGCGCCCATTGACTCGGGAGCCTCGATGTCTCTAAGAGAGGAAAACAATATCTAGCCTTTCCTTTCCACATCGACGGATCCATTCCTACAAATCGAACGAAGGCTGGTATGGAGTTTCACAGGTACTCGCGACGACATTTCTCTGGGATGTACACGCATTTGATATCGGTGAATCGAAGATGAGAAACGGAGGATAAATGGAAAGAGCGCGAGATACGTTATCGCAATAATAATGCAATGTCGGTGAATGCAAACTCGATATTTTTTACCACGGACGATCGATCGCGCCCAATGCCATCGCGCGGTGCAATTTTCATTATGGTCGCCGACGGACGATAACGAATAAAAATGTACGATAAAAATTGCGATAATGGAATTCGATTCTTTCGCGAAACCTAGCCACAGGTATACACCGAGAGGAGATAAAATTTCGGGGCAAGCCGTTCCGAGGGTGACTCGTCGCCGGCCATTTTAATTAAGCGCCACCGTCTGCGCGAAGAATTCGTTTCCACGGACGCCACGAGCTGTCACCCCCGTAATTTGTTACCCCGAAAGTTGAGACCTTAATCGCTTTACCATAACGGGTTGTCCCTCTTCCGAAAAAGGACCACGAGGAGTAATTCAGAGTTCTTAACCCAACGACGTCTCTTCGTTTGACTTTACACCCACGGTCTGCGGATCTAAAAATACCCGATTGTACGAAATGCGTAGTTTCCACGTTTTAGCGTCGTTAGAGCGGGGGATTACAGACTTTCCGGTGAAAAGGGCACCTCGAATGGCTGCCTTATGACAAAAGGCACCTTCCTTTTTCATCTCATTAGCAAATAAATTGCTACTTCAGCTTAACTGTCTATTTTTGCTGTGGGTAATTCCGAATTTCAAGATTGCTTCGCTGTCTTGCACTGTGGAGGCATCTGCATTGGAGAAATAAGGAAATTAACGAAAGAACTGTACCTGTACACGTATACATCCACAGAACCAAAATCCTACGTGGTATTTAATTTTCTACGTCAACTATGACAATTAATTTTCTCTTCTATCGTTACATAACCTATTCACCCTCGTTAATTATTTAAGGACCCTAATTTTCGACGTTTCATAGTTATATCTTCCCTATATAAAGGTTTAGAGGTTTGAGAAGAAATGAGGATTCTTTAATAACAACAGATTAATTTAAACTAAAAAATAATACTCGTTCGCACAGACTCTATCGCTCATGTTACTCTCAGGACTCACTGGACTCTCATCACTCTAACTCAAAAGCTACCACTCTACAACTACCTTCTTAGAACTCTCTGTCAACGACAACTGCCTTCCACGCACTTCTCTCACACCCCGTATACTTTTAAGCATTCATTCCCTTTCATTCTAATTTTTAACCTTCAACATACCTAGACTTT